ATGAAATAAGCAGGAGGACCAAGTCCTCCCTGTCATTTCATGGGCATGTCTCTCTCTCGCCCCTGGCTGCAGACTTCGTCCTCAAAGGGATGAACCGAGGAAGGAAGATAACACATTTTACAGGAAGGGAAAGTAAATTCTCCAGGACAGACTCATCTGCTGGTTGCAACATCAAGCACTGACTATTCACATGTTTGAACCGGTCCGACACCTTTGAGAGCACAGCATAGTGCAATCCATATGAATCATGCTTTTCAGCAGGCCAAATATAGGGAACTTTTTCTTGTTTTGGTCCACTCTAGTCACCTCTGGAATTTCTATCCGTTTAACTGTGCAGCCAGGTGCAGTTCATGTTAGCTCATTGCAGCCCACTGTTTTTGTTATAGTCCTCCCATGTGGGTATATTTGAGATTGAAAAGAATCTTATTTCAGCTCCAGGCTCTCTACCATAGGGAGGCTGAACCCCTGAGCTTTCCGGGGCTCCTTTGCCTTTAAACACGTCCCGTCTGGAAGTAAAACTGGGCACATGTGGGGCACAGAGGGGGAAGGAGGCAAGCTTTGATCACCCAAGAATAAAGAAGGGAAGGTGTCTCCCCTGTGCTGGTGAAACGACTCCATTTATTGCACACTGCAGCTCAACATATTTTGCAAAATTAATGCAAGCATTACCTGTTTGAGTCTTCCCTGTTGAATGTGAGCGGAGGATTGGTGTTGACCGGCATTTTCACTGATCCCAGTTCAATGGCAGCAAATCATGAGTTAATTAACCTATAATTTTCCAGGGCATGATGGGCGCCTTCCGCAGCCATTCTGAATATTCAGCCCTGATTGTGGATTCCTGCCTGACATCTGAATCCAGACATCATGTGCTAATCATGGGTTGAGCCACCCATAGTTAACTTATTGACCTATACAGTCAGGTTTGGATGCTGTACAGCAACTCCTACCAGGCCAATCAGGCGTTAAAGTCTCGACATGGCTGTGACATGCACCCAGAATGTGCTGTGACAATCAGCAAATCATGGGTTAATTAAGCCATGGCCTGCTGCTGTTACCTAGAAACAGCCCCATAGCCTCAAGGTCAGTGTCTTTTCCAAAGGTGGAAGAGTGCTTTCATCATCAGCTTCGTTTGTTTCTTTAAATTGTTGGTAGGAGAGCAGCATTATTTCAGTATGAGAGGGAGGGAGGAAAGAAAGAGAGAAGGTAGGTGGCAGGAACAGAAACTGGCATCAGACAATTACTAAAGACTCTAGTTAATAGGCAGTTTGTTACTATTCCCCTGCCTTGCATTCTTCAGGAAACAACGGAAGAGGCTGAACCTACCAGAGGGAATCGTTTAATTATCCTAGACGGGAACATTTGCTCAATAGTACTACCTTGTGAGTAAATATTACAAGCATGGCAAAGGCCCGCAGCTGCATTTTGCACTGGCACCAGCCCTCTGCCTTGTTCCCCTTCCAGCTCGTTCCACAAACGCCATGGCTCAGCAATGCTCCAAGGCAGGCGTGTGGGAGGAAGCCTTCCCCAACTCTCCCCGACACCCCGTCAAAACATCTAATGGGAAAGAAAAATTGACAAGGAGGCACAGTGGGTTGTTTTTGCCTAGGGCCAGACCAGCTTTGCCGTGTGTGTAGCATGTCTGCATCCTAGCGAGTCAAATATTAGCTCGATAGCCAGTCTTATCCGTCCTCTTGTGTTTTGGGAAGCTGTCTTGTCTTTGACATTTATGGATGTGTTCCTTGCCTCATCAAGGAAGCTAACTTTTAAAAAGCAGGTAGAACAGAGCAGAGTCCACCCAGTTCCATATTGTTTCAGGCAGGATTTTTTCCAGCCATACCTGGTCCTTCTGAGGACAGAACTCTGTATCTTCTGCAAATCCACCCCGTTCTTGAGAGGTTGCAAAGCATTCAAGAGACTGCAAGAGAGGGGTTTGTCACCACGGATTGCTGCTGGGCAGTCAGAGCTCTCGCACAGAACTACATCCCTATTTCTACATCCCTGGGAAATTTAAAGCAACAACAGAGCCCGCCTGATGTAGCAATTGAGATCGCCAGACTGTGGCTCTGGAGATCTGGGTTCTCGTTCCCACAGCACACCGGGTGACTCTGGGCCAGTCACTGCCTCTCAGCCTAACCGACCTCACAGGGCTGTTGTGATGAGGATAAAATGCAGAGGAGGAGAAACTTGGAAGCTGCCTTGGGTTCCGTGCACGAGGAGGAAAGGCAGGGTGCTAATGCAAGGTAATCGCAACACTGGGCAAATAAGTTGCACATGTTTTAAATCCAGTTGCTATGGAGATTTCAAACTGTGCTAATTTCACGGGTACCTGCCTCATCCTTTCTAGCTTGGACAAAAAGAGGTTTGGTTTAAAGGAAGTGGGCAAGTGTCGAATCCCGTTTTTACCAGTGGGTTCTGCACCTACCCCAGATCCAGTGCTGGACCACAATATTTTGCTGCCAGTGACAGCGCGGCAAAACCCAAGTGCATAATCCCCAGAGTCAGGCGAGCTGTTATGTCCATGAGGCAGGGAGTCCCACAGGCCTCAAGCCCTTGCGGTGAAAACACAATAACAGCAGATGCCTAATAATTGGATGCCTTTTCTTGACGCCCCAAAACTGTCGCCCAAAGCAGCTGCCGCGCTGTGCCTCACGGGAGGGCCAACTCTGCCCCTGCATCTCTCTCTTTGCAATGTGCTTCCCCCAGCTTTTCTTTACTCCTTGGAAAAAGGTTGCGTTTTAAAACACTGTTTGAGTCATATGACTCTCTCCAAAAATACTCCATTCCCTAGAGTGTCACACCAGCCTGGGAAATTCTGTTGCGAAAGAGGTTTTTCCCTTTCTGAGCTGTGTTACGCCCAGGTCACAGGCATCAGCTGCTCTGAGATCTCCAGCGATGCAGGCCAGCTTCCACCCTAGATTTTAATGAACCATTTAAAGGGATTATTTTAATTTGGGGGGAGGAATCTATAGAGACTGATTGCATCCCCCTGGACCCATCCAGTGGGAAGTGCTCAGTCATATAAAGGCAGAAATCATTCTTAAGAAGCTGCCACATACTGGTCAGACAACTGGCTGTCTAGACGAATATCGGCACTGATTCTCCAAAACTTCCGGCATGACCTTTCCTCCTCACCAGCAGTGGTATTTCCCTATTGTGCTTTTCAATAGTTCTGAATTGTGCCCTTCTCCACTCCCACCCTTGTCTGGAGCTACCAGAAATGGTGCTGATGTTCCAAATTGGCATTTGGTGGGCGTCATGGGCTGGATACAGGCTAAAGACCCAGACAGGATATGGATGTTTATAGACAAATGGCCTCTGGCATTGGAATTCAACCTGTTTTGGGTAGGTTAGGACACCCCTGAAGAATCAGTGTGTGGTTTGGTGGTGCTTCTACCAGGTGGCCATGGTAGCCAGGAGATGTGGCTACCATGTGCATTCCAGACAAGGTCACACTGCCCATGGGGACACTTTCCTTAGCTAAACCTAAGCGCGATGGTTGCGATACACTCTAGATGGGGCCACCTTTGCAGGGCCTTTGGGAACTGCAGTGGCTCCAGAATGCCACCACATGTTGGGCACTGGCTTAGGAAATGATAGTACATGTATCCTGTGCCAGCTGCCCTGCTTACCAGTTCCGAGCCCTAATTCAAAGTCTTGTGGACGAGCTTTAAAGCACCAGATCACTTGACTGCGGGATATTCACGTGTTTCAGGAACAGACTGCCTCCTCCAGTACCAGCCCTTCCGTGCCCTAAGACCCAACAGGAAGGCTATTTCGTGTGTCCCAACCAGGCTGCAAGCATCATTGGCTGCTGATACGGACAAGACAAAGAGTCTTCTGTAGACTCCATTTCTAAAATACGGAGCTGTTGGTTGGCTTGGTACCCTCTCATTTGGTACTCCACTGTATGGAGGTTTTTGCAGCAAGGGCTCATGCTAAGTGCGTGTGCGTATTTTGGTAAGAAGTGCCAATAAAAAGACCACTAGCTGAAACATACTGCAGGTTTTGAAAGAGCACAACTGTGGGTTACATATATCCAGGAACAGCAGAAATCTGGGCTTCTCTAGTGTGAAACATCCGTCGAATGGAACAATATTTTCATGACTAGTGCTGGGATAAATGACAGAGTGTTTCTTGATTATACCGTGTTGGAGATTTATAGAAAGTTTATATGGAAATTGCAGCTCATGGGTTTTTCTTTCCTAACATAAATTACATTGTGCAACCACAGAAATAAGTGGCTTTTCCTTACTTAATGGTGGTGTGGGTGGAGAACAGGCAGCATACCTTGGAGACACGAATGCCCAATTCGCATTTGTCTTAATTAACTTGTTAGGCAGCTTTGAAAAAAATCTCAAAGCTCATCATTAAGGTGGAATCTAAAGACAGTGGGGGAAATGCAGGGGAAGGGGGTAGTGGAACGCCGTTCGTTCGTACCAGATGGAACAGAAGATGCAGGAAGGCTGCTGGAAAACAGCATCGCTGTTTCAGTTCTGCCTTGCAAAGTCTTGCAAAAGCTGCCGCATGATTTATTATCATGTTGGGACTTTTCCCCATTTCATGGCCTGCAGGGCAGAAAAGCTCCTAAAAAGGTTATGACTGGAAGCTAAACTGAGGCTGCCGTACTTTTGGCACATGAGAAGGAAAAGCTCCCTGGAGAAGACAAACTTGCCAGAGAAAGTCCCAAGGAGGGGGGGGGGGAGCATACATCTTAAGAAAACAGAATCACACAACCCCCCACCCCGCCCTTTGGGGCCTCGACAAAGCAATGAATAAATAAACCTTATTGCTAAACCATTAGTGAATGTTTTTATCCTCAGTCGGTTATTATGATGTATTTATTAGGATGAATTTATTGGTGATTTATTGTAAGCTATTCAAAGACATACAGTAATGGACGGGTTAGAAATGCCCCTAATAAACAAACAAACAAACAAATAAATAAATTGCTGCAGAGGGGGAGCCACAGCGATACTGCAGGGAAATGCATGCCTACTCACATTTATGGGACAGGAGGACGTCAAAAGAGTCAGCCCATCTGGAAGCTTCTTCTGTCGATAATCTTCTGTGAGAAAGAAATGGACAAGGGATTTTAAAAAGCTGCTATATTTATATCCCACCGTTTTTCCTGTCTTGGAACTCAGGGAGGCTTACCTAATCATCTTATTCTTACAACAACAACCCTGTGAGGTAGGTCAGGCTAAGAGTGAGTGGCTGGCCCCAAAACACGGAGGGGCTTCATGGCTGAATGGGGACTCAGACCCAGATCTCCGGTCCCCAGTCTGGCACACATGCTGGTCCGGTTGACTCATTCCATTCCTTTTCTTTATTGCCCAGTAGGCAAAGCTCGGCTGGAAATTCACAACAATTAAAACCAGAAACTACAGCATAAGCTACATTATAAAAGGCAAAACTACAGTATAAAATAGAGGTAAAAACCCGAGCAAAACTTAGCAGCAAAGCTAAGATTAAGATAAGATTAAGATACAGTGGCACCTTGATTCACGAACTTAATCCGTTCCACGACTCTGGTTGTGACCCAAATTGGTTGTGACCCAAGTCAAATTTCCCCATAAGGTTCAGTGTAAATAAGGTTAATCCGTTCTGTGACTATTTTTTTTAATCAGAAAAAATGAAACAAAGTGAAAAAGAACAACAAAGTAACAAAGTTCTGTACAGTACAGTGGAGAGCACTAACCTAGGTGGGGGGGTTATTGTTTGGAGGGAGAGTCCCCCTCCATAAGGACACTGGGGAGATCTCTTTCAGGGGTTTCCTCTCTTCTTTGTCTCTTAGCTGCAGGGTCAATTTTGGTGAAAAATCTGTCTATAGCCACTTGTTTCTTCCTGCGCTGCATTACCCTCCGGAAATGAGAGACCACGTTATCTTTCATCAGATTCAACCCTCTGTGCGTTGCAGTTATGTTGGGGTGGTGCTTCTCAAAGAAACCCTGGCACGGGAGTGCTCCTGCAGGAAAGACGGGCGCGATCTCGGCCATCTCCCCCCACCCCAACCAGCACGATCGCAGCCATCTCTCCGTCGCCCGAGTGGGGCATGGCCGCGATCGCAGTTGCGTCTGTGCAGGGAAGACGTGCGTGATCACGGGCGCGCTCCTGCAGGAAAGACGGGCGCAATCTCGGCCATCTCCCCCCACCCCAACCAGCACGATCGCAGCCATCTCCCCGTCCCCCGAGTGGGGCATGGACGCGATCGCAGTTGCGTCCGTGCAGGGAAGACGTGCGTGATCACAGGCGCGCTCCTGCAGGAAAGACGGGCGCAGCACAGCCACGATCACACACGTCTTCCCTGCATGAACGCAACTGCGATCACGGCCATCTTCCCACTCGGGGGGCCGGGGGGAGACAGCTGCGATCTTGGTTGCCACCCAATGAGGAGTTTGCGACCCAAGGCAAAATTTTCATGAAATTTTTGTTCGCAACCTGATTTGTTCGTGAACCAAGGCATTCGTGAGCTGAGGTACCACTGTATTTAAAACAGGAGCTGAAGGACCAAAATGCCTGGAAAAATAAGCAGTTCTTTATTTCGTGCCAAAGAAGCCTGGTGCGGGTTCTAAGAGAGCTCTTCCACGATCAGGTGCCGCAGCAGAAAAGGCCCCGTTCTTAGTAGTTCCCCACTGACTTCCTTCTGTAGGGGCTTCCACAGAAGGATGGCTGAGGACAAATCTGGGGTCTGAGCAGGTGTACCTGGCTGGGTGGAGGGACTCAGCCCATGTTGTTTAGAGCTTTGGATGTCAACACTGACTCTCTGAGCTGGGCCCAGGCATGGACCGGCAGCCAGTGCAGAGGGTAAAGTGCTAGCTTGGTGTGGCCACATAGGACAGGCCCCGATAAGCATCTTGCTGCTCTCGTTTGCCTCACCTGAAGTTCCTGAGTCATTTTCGAAGACAGGCCAATCTAGGACACTGCAGCAATTCAGTCAAGACGTTGCCAGAGCAGGGACCGCTGTAGCCACATCATCTCCGCTGAGATAAGGATGCGGTCGGGAGAGCCAGCCTAAGCCGACGGCAGCTGCTCCGGGCCTTTAGTGGCGACACTGATCCAAAAGCACCTCCGACTCCGCACCTGCTCCTTGAGGTGGAGCACAACCCGCCCACAACAGCCTTCACCCAAGCACGTAAGCCACCTCCCGATGGTTCCCCCATGTTGTCTGGATGGCATTCCATTTACTACTTTTATTTATTTACTTTTTTACTCAAAACATCTGTATGCTGCCCAGTTGTGCCACAGCACCTCTGGGCAGCTCACAATTGCAAGACAAAAACACAATAACAACCAATAACAACCTATTAGAGACAGACTAGATGGCCCAGGAGGCCCCTTCTGACTGTTTCTATGTATTAAAAACAGAATAACAATAAAATGCAAGCATAAATGCAAAACAAAGGTCAAATGGCATTAATTATTATTATTTTTTTCTTTTTACAGGAAGGTGCAAGACCTTTGCTTTGGTCTAAAAGGAAGCAATTACTTGATCAAAGCATTTCTATTTTTGCAAGCTGCGTAGGCTACATTTTTTCTGGCTGAAGGAGGTGATCTATAAAGATCAGAACTTGTGTCGACCCAGAGTCATGAACCCTGTAAAAAAGAGTTTACTTATAGGGTTAGGGTCTTAGGGTGTGGGTGTGGGTTCGGGTTTGAGTTTGGGAAACCCGGTGGGAAAGATTTAGCAAAGATTTAGCCAAGGAAGGGGAGAGGCCTCCACTCTCTGCACTCACTTCAAAGCCCGGTTGGGCTTGTCCGGAAGGATGGCGGTGAAGTCGCTGCAGGAGTCCGACTTGTGAGACAAGCAGCCCAGGCGAGTCCTCATCCCTCTGGTTCTGCAGTCAGTCATACGAGGCAGGGGAGCAAGAGGGAGAGAAGGAAAGTGAGAGCCATTGACCTCCCGGACAAGCACAGGGAGCGCTGTGCTGCTGCATCGGGCCAGGGGCTCTCTGGCCCAGTGTCCTCAAAGCCGGGCCAGACCTGGCCAGCCAGGCGCCTCCAGGTAGCTGTCCTGCAGCAGCCGGGGACTCTGGGGTATCCCCATAAATGTGGCTCACCCCTCTTCCAGAGGCACTTCATCCAACTCCATGCATGACGCCAACCGTCCCCAACCTGGTTCCCTCCGGATCTTTGGGAGCACAACTCCCAGCATCCCTGGACAGCAGGGCACTGGCACCATAAAAGGCTCGTCAGGACGTACCCTCCATATTATCCTGTTTTTCACCAATGCACAGCCTTCCCAAGTAGGCATTAGCCTGCCTGAAAAGGTGGGCTCCAGTGTGGTTCCCATCCTTTCTGTGGCTGGAGCTGCTGGGAGATGTAGTCCAAAGCATCTGAAGGGCATCAGATTGGGAAAGGCTGTACGATACACACTTCCTTTGTCTGTCCCGAACATGCCACCAACAGATTTCTTTGAGGTGGCCCACATCTGGTCCCGAGGCACCTGTCCCCCCAGCCCAGAGCAGGCTGGGACTTCTGGCCCTGGCCGCTCATTCCCTTCATTTGGAGCACAATCTTCTCCATCTTTAGGCTGAAAAGCTGCTCCAACTCCCAACATCTCCCAGCCAGCACAAACTGGGGACTTTTTTCTGTCTCAACATGCATAGGGTTACCCACTACTATGAAAACATCACCAGGAGTACAAAATCTTACAGAATTTAGGAGGCAGAAAGAGCCTCACTGAGCATGAGGAGAACGCCTCTCCTCAACGGAGTCTCCCAGGGTCTTCTCGCCCTCAGAGACCAGAAGGACCAAGAGGCTTGCTCTCTGCTGCCCCGGGTACCAGGTCTCAGTGTACTGGGCTTCAGCAAGGATCGTCCGGCGACGGAAGCAACTATGCATTCTTGGGCCATTGCATTTCTGTCCCACCATTTTTCTTCTCGCAAGGAACCCAGGGTGGCTTAGCAGCTCTTCACAACAACAGCCCTTCAAGGTAGGCTGGGCTAGGAAGGAGCAAGTGGTGGTCATCCCAGGAGTTTCATTGCTGACTGGGGACTAGGACCCTCATCACCCCAGTCCAACACCCTCACCACCCCACACCTTAGCGGTTCCCCTAGGTCAGTTCTCCCTCGCTGGAGGCCTTCCAGAAGAGGCTGGGCTGCCAGTGGCTGGTGGGGGTGGTGAGCAGTCGATTTCCTGCAACACGAACTGGCAGCAACGGCTTGAGGGTTCCAAAATCACTGAGCCGGTCGAGGCTGCCGGGGTCCAATCCGCACTTTTGAGGCACTGTCCATGGTGCTGGCCCTACTTTACGGCTGGGCTGGGCACATGGAGAACTCCCTGGAGTGTCCTGCCTGGAGCACCTACACCGGCCCCTGCCATTGGCGCAGCCAGAGGACCCGCATGGCAGGGCTTCCCTCCCGCTCCGGGATCCCGAAAGCCCTTTCTCCTTGACAGCGGCTGATGGACAGCTCCTGCAGGCACTCCAGCCTATACAGAGCCCATAGCCTCTGCCATGGGAGGGAACGTCTCCAGGGTGTTGTGAGTCAAGGGGCACAGGCACAGGGAGCACCCATCCTTGCTCAGGGCCCCGAAGCTTTTGCAGGCAACCTGCTTGATGCGCAGGCCTGCTCCCGTGAACATGGGCTGCCCCCTACCAAGGTCAGCTCCTCAAGCGTGGTTCTTTACTCATGTCTGATGTGAACTGGAGCTTTCGATTCACATGAATGAAATCCCCCCCCCCCAATATGCAAGGGATCAATGCCTGCAAATGAGCACAGACTTTTCTTCCAAGATTTAGGAAGGAAAAACTGCTTTTCTACCCTAGGTAAAGGAAACTTTAATATATACACCTGTGTTTGTACACCCTCCCCCCTTCCCTCTACTGCTGGTACACAGGCAAAGGATAGGGCAGCAATACTGTTACTTCCTTAAGTATTTTAATTATAACTTTAATTATTATTAATTTCATTTCTATATCACCCCACAGCTCAAGCTCTCTGGGTGGTTTACAACGGTCTGTGAAAACAAGACAATAAAATATGAAATCTTATCAATGGAACATTTAAAAATGAATAAACAGTTTAAAAAGCTAATGGAAGCCCTGTCCCTCTTGTTTGTTCCATATACATGAATGAAGCAAAGAGAAGAGGTTGCAACTGGGGAAGCTGGAGGGGGAGCCCACTGCCTCCTTGGAACAGGGCTAAAGAGCAATAAGGAAAATTTGAGATGAGAAAGACTATAGTTACACATTTCCCTGGCCCTGACAAATGCCGTGCTCCCTGGAGATTATTATATTTGATTAGCCTAGTGCCACTGCAATTCTGCTGCCCCGGGCAGGCCTCACGAATACCACAAGGACTTGACACATCCTCTCATTTTTAAACGCAAAAGCTAATATTCCCACAGCCACATTTCATTCTGTGCCAGATGCTAAATTCCACCTTGAATCCTGTGAACACAGGACCAGGCGATGGGCAGTGAAGGTGTATAATGCAAGGCACCCAGCTGACGGAAAGCAAGACGTTTATGTAATCTTACATCACACTTCAAAAACAAGGTCATGATGAGAATTGCAGAGAGAACGCATGTCTCTCGCTTACGCTCATCACTGTACAGCAGCTTGGAAGAATCAGTTCAGGACCAACGCAAAGTGCTAGAAAACAAAGAGCTAGTTCATATCCATCTCCAGCAATTTGAACTTATTAAAATAGTGTCCATGTTTCTTAGCTGCCCAAGACCGTTCGCTTAGGGTCATCTTTTGGGCTGAAGGAGCTGGCTGGAAAAACCCTGTGGTCCAAGTCAGTTCTTCATTACTCCTGACCAATCTGCGAACAAAATCACTCTGTCTTCCTTTTAAAAAATCCCCACCCTTGTTTTCCAAGCCATCTGCACCAAACCACCCATTGAGATGCCAAGAGCACCAGTCCAATCGTATCACCATTATTTTAAACTAGCAACTCAATGCACCTCCTCAAAGGAAAGGCAAAAGAATGTTCAGAAAAGCATTTGGAAAGCTTTGATTACAAGACGCTTGCTCCTCGGGAGGAAAGCTATGGCAAATCTAGGCAGCATACTAAAAAGCAGAGACATCACCCTGCCAACAGAAGTGTGTATAGTCAAGGCTATGGTTTTCCCAGTTCAAGGTATGGCTGTGAAAGCTGGACCATAAGGAAGGCTGAGCACCGAAGAATTGAGGCCTTTGAATTGTGGTGCTGGAGGAGACTCCTGTGAGTCCCTTGGACTGCAAGGCGATCAAACCGGTCAGTCCTAGAGGAGATCAACCCTGACTGCTCTTCAGAAGGCCAGATCCTGAAGATGAAACTCAAATACTTTGGCCACCTAATGGGAAGGAAGGACACCCTGGAGAAGAGCCTAACGCTGGGAACAATAGATGGCAAAAGAAGAAGGGGGCGGCAGAGGATGAGGTGGCTGGATGGAGTCACTGAGGCAGTTGGTGGACTCTGCTTCAGTGGACTCCAGGGGATGGTGGAGGACAGGAAGGCCTGGAGGAGTGTTGTCCATGGGGTTGCGATGGGTCGGACACGACTTCGCGACTAACAACAACAGGATATTCTAGCCTTTGTCAGGAAGGAAACCCCAAATGTATTACACGTTCCTAGGCAAGTTTACTCAGAAGAAAGGGGGCTGTATATAGAGCAGCTGAAGTTTTGTTTTGTTTTAAGTTGGGGCTTATGGAAAATGTTATCCTGTATTATGGAGAACCGTTTCTTCCCTGCACCAGTCCTTTCAACCCTTAAACAACAATGCACTGGTCTTTTCGCAAGCCTCCTCATTTTGGCCCAGCCAAATTTGCCTCCAGCCTCGCCCCCCACTGAAGTGTTGCCCCCAGGAACGTCTTCCGATTTGAATTTAGCCCCTGTGCTGAAAGAGGACAAAACCTACCTCTACCGCGCGAGAGTCTGCCGGCCATTTTCCCTGTTAATAACTTAAGCAAAGGTAACTACTCTTCATGCCTGGAATAGAAGAGGTGGCCAGACCTTTCTGTTTCAGCTGCATCACCAAATCTTTCCAGCTACTCCTACCGCAACACCAAACCTGGTCAACTGCAGCCTTCCCTCGGGGCTTTCGCCACGGACCTGTGCAATGCAGAACATATTCCACAGCCTTCCTCACCTTGCAGGGCAGGGTTGTCTCCCTAGGAAGCTCATCTGCTTGCCAAGGAGCCCTCATATGCTTCGAAAGGTCACCCAAGAAACAGCTTGAAAACACCCTGTGATCTCATACTTGCTCACAAAGTCCAACCTCTCAATGATAGTTCAGCTCTTACCCTTCACAGGACTTTCCTTCTGTTAACTTTGCTGTAAAAGCCTGCAAGAGCTTTTCATCACCACACAGTTAAATATAAAATGACATTTCTCCATGCCATATGGGAAGACTTTGCCAAAAGTTTTGGCACCGTCTCCGAAATCATTTCCCCGCGCCCACTTCTCCCTTCTGTTAGAATCACTCTTGACTAGTTTCTATTTATTGAAGATTTTAAATGTAATTTTAGAGCAAGACTCAATGCTAGCTGAGTTGACAATCGCCTCCCTGTGTGTGCAGCCCTGACCCACTGAATTTGCTCCTGCGATAACAGTAATAACAACAAAATTCAACATGTTCCAAAGCATTTAATGAAAGAAAATAAATGCCTCTGTTTTAGGATATATGTACAGGGAGTTCCTTGTTAGCTGGTAAGTCCAGTAAGTATGCGGCACAGCTCAATCTCATTTCCCCTCCCAAGAATTTCAAAATGGTAACAAAAAGTTTCCCCCACCACAGGAAAACACCATAGGGCTGTTAACCAATTAAAAAGTGTTTAGTTTATGAATCATCTGCCTTTTCTGCAGTCGTATTTAAAAATATTGGCGTATTGCTAGTGTGTCAGTAGATCTAGTCTTTGGAAGAAAATGCAGATTTAAAAGATAATTTATAATGTAATAAGCAAAAAAACATGATTCCCTGATCAAGTGAACATTCAATTATTTTCCTTCCAATTCCTCAAACCTGTAACACACTAGAGGCAAAATACCTTCAAAATGCACAGGTACCCATTTAATGCAAACCAACTTCAATTAAAATTTGCCATCACCAATCGAGACTGGCTTCCCAGTCAAGCAAAACTGTAGTGGATTAGAGATAAATGGATTAAAGTGTGGAGTCCTTGGTCTGGATCCAGAGTTGTACTGGAACCCTGGGCTGGTGGAAATGGTCTCGCCTACCCGCTCTTTTCCATGGCAACCCCTCCAGCCTCCCGCAAATGCATCCAATAAGCCACAGCTGAAGGGGGTGAGCTGTGGGGTCCAGAGCGATCTGCATCCAAGCAGTCCTAATGCTAACCTTTTGGAGTCATTGTGCAGCTATTCCATCTCTTTTCCTCAGCCTATTTTCCCTGGAGAGAAAAAAGGGGATCACAGATGACATGAGACCATGTGATAGAGCCACGAAAGCTCAGGAGGCACCTCAGGCTGGTGCACCCAGCCTAGAAACCTGCCAGTCTTCTCGGGGGCTTGGTATGTCTGTGTGTGAAAGCAAGAGAGAGAAAGAGAGCATTTTGAGAGTGGTGGTATCTCCAAGCAGCTACTTCCCAAGTATTGTTTGCATGGAGGCAGCCCCCTTTGTGACTGCCTGCCCCTGACTGGCTTTCGAGAACAGCCCCCAGTGAGGTTTCAGGAGTCAAGGCTCCAGGGAAGAAAGATAATAATGCTGTGCTGTGTTCTCTAAAATCAATTGATCCTTTGCAAGAGAGAGAGAGAAAGAGAGAAGGAAAGGTAGGTAGGGAGGTTGTCCTCGACCCAGTGAAATCTTTCACCTCCTGCTCACAACAGTTGAATTTCCTTGTTGCCGATCAGAACACTGGACTGGAAATGCAGGTGCTGTTATCCCTTCCCACGGCACTGAGGTGAAGGACCAGCTTTCAGGTCACAACAGAAGAGCCATGGAGTGGTTGTCGCAGCACGAGTTGTTTTGCAAAAGAGAGAGGGCCCCCGGTCACCACGGAGGGCAAGCTCCCCTCATGCTGGGCATCCCTCCATGCCAAGGCTGAGGTGCCTAGACAGGCGCCAGGGAAAAGCTGGCAAGGGAGCTGCCCTAGACGTGGCAGAACTGGAGGGGGCTGTCCATGAGAAGAGCAGGCTGCCTGGACAAGACCATCACGAAGGGAGAGTCAAAGGCCAAAGACCGAAGGGAAGGTCAGCTGTGAGATGGATGGACCCCATCGGGGAAGCCATGGCCTTGAACTTGGAGGAGCTGAAGGCAAATGTTGGAAAGAAGATTTTGGGGTGGCAGAGGGGAGCCGGGGACAGCTTTGTGTTTTGCAGCGGAGTGGAAGAGGGGATTTAAACAGATCCAGCCGTTTGCATCCGCAGATGTCAAGAAGGAGCGCCTCCCCAAACTCCCTGCCTAGGCAAATTTTGGGAACTGCCACACGTCTCTTTTGGCACGTGGCCACTGCAGTGCTCCGAGAAAGAAAGGTGAGCACCTGCAGTTAAAATAACAGGGAGAATCGGGGCCATGATGCAGGCTGGAGAGAAAGGAGGGCCCCAAGGCTGCCAGAGTCTGAGACTTCTGCGTCAATCGTCTTAGGCAAGCCTTTGTGATCTCTTAGCCTCTCCGAGATCCAGGAACGATGATGGCCTGAGAGGACCGGAAGCATGAAAAGGGAAGTCATCAGCTCAGGTCTCCTTGTTGCCTCAAGCTCATTAAGTGGGTTTAAGCCCCTGTTCTGCTCCCAGTTTCCACAGATCCAGAATGGATGACATCATACCGACCTACCTGACAGGGTAGGTGTATTGGGGATTGTTGAAATAATGCCATGGAAGAGCTTTGGGGCCCAGGAGTGTGGTGTGTCATACACATGCATAAGCTAAGAGTGGTCAGAACAGGGAGTGAGACTGCAGGGAATGATTGCTAATGATTTATCTTGCATTTTCCATGCCACAAATATAGGATTATTGGCAAACAACCTGCCCCTGCTTTTCCTGTCTCGGTATGAAGACAAAAGCTAAAGGAGAGAAAAACAGAGCGGCAATGCCAGGAGATGCTTTCGAGGGCTTTCAAAACACGAGTGTGGATAACCCATGGCCAAATTCCAACATCCATTAAACATTTGATTTTTTTAAAGCACATACACCCAGACACTCCAAGCTTTGTCATTTGCAACTAATGGAGCAGGGATTGCTTTACATACCAGCTAGTGCATTTCTTTTAATCCCTACTCCAACCGTCTGCCTTCACTATACTTGCTGAAATGAATCCCTATAATTCCCTAAGCCCCTTTGAATGTCCCCGTTGCCACAGTCCTGCTCCCCGCCCGTCCCCATGTGAGGCTGAGGCATGTGAAGCTGCTTCCCTGGAATCCAGTGGCCAGAATTTTCAATAAAAGGGGGGAAAGGGTTCTGTACTCTGACCCCCCCCCCCGCCCCATGTACTACACAGAAGCCCCAGCTTCTCTGTGGTGGCCCCAGCTGTGGGGTCGGATGCTGGGATAGGGTGAAAAGAACAGCTCTGCAAACAGAAACTTGAAAGCCCTTCAGAGTTTTACCCAGAAGTCCCAGGGCCTCGTTGGCTTCTCTCAATAGCCCGTTTCCAGACCCCACTGCCCTGCCAAAGCACCTTCTGTCAGCTGGAGATAGGTGAACGCTTTCCAGTTCATCTACTCCCACTCCCAAGATTCACCTCCCCCGTAGATGAATTTTCTTCCTGCTCCAGCTGCTTCACCTCACTGCTTCCCAGTTCGAGCAGGATGTCCTTGCACGGCCACCCAGAACATCGGGAGACAATGCTGGAGGATAAAATGCTAGACAAGGGTTTCTAGCTCATTTCGAAGGGGAGGGACAAAGGCAGTAAGAAATCTCCATCAACTGCAGACACAGGGGAAGAGGGGGAGAGAGAGAGAGAGAGAGAGAGCAGGCAAATGAAGCATGAAACATGCACCACCGACAGACAGGCAGACGGACACAGCGACCAAGAAAAGATACTCACTGCCTTTGGCCTGTCCTCGTGTTCTGCAGCTCTTTACCAAGCGTGTGATCAGAAAGGGTCTATGGAGAGAGCAGAGAGATCTCTTAAGCGGGGGCCAACAGCCTCACGCAGAGACACACCTCCCTGCCTCCCCCCTTCCAGAAGCTCAGCTGGAAGCTCTCATCCCTCCTGCGACTCTCCACCAGGAAACACAAAGGCAGGGTGAGGATCAGGCTGGTGCTGCAAAGCCGGCTCGCACATTCCCAGGGGTGGGACTGGAGAGGCGCCCACCTGATCCGAGCATTTGGAAGCCTCCTCCTTCATCTCGCTCCTCCTCGTTAACCTGATGGAAAATCCCTTTTTCTTCCACCCGGTTAAAGCGGTCCACCCCTCAGGGGGATGCAGACCGTGCCTTGCAAAATTCGAACCTGCGTCTACCTCCTCTGTAATTGCTCCATGCGGCTGTCATCCCAAAGCATCAGCCTGCTTCGTTTTAAATCAGTCCTCGGTGGGCTGAGGGCAGGATGGTAAATCCACAGAGCTTTCGGTGCAGGCCACGGCTGAAGCCGGGTGGGGGTGAATCGCATGAGAGAGCGTAATTACAGAGCACGGATGCCAGCAAAGTCAAATCGCAGCGCTTAAATGCCAAGGCAGGTTTCTTGTGGGGTGCGACGGCGTGATAAACACACAGCTAATTTCTCCTAAAAGGTGAGAGAGTCGGCTCAACAGAAAGGTGCCAGTTTCTCTCCACATCCGCTCATCAGTGTCACCTCACATCTTCTCGCGCTTCTTCTCACCTCGCTGCCATCAGCAGTCCAGATTTCCTGCCAGCTCAGACTCACTCTTTTCTCATCCTCAAATAGAAACACATTAATAGATCGTGGTGCTGGAAGGCGATTCTGAAGGCCATCGGGGGGCCTGTTTTGCCACGAGAGGCCTTCCGTCCATCTAGCCCACTTCCACCAACTCTGCCTCCACTGCCTTTCCAGCACCTCGGCACAGTGAGATGTTTCTGCCGAACCAGGACAGGTATTTTATCAGGTGATACGTGAATACAGTTGGACCCAAGAGTCGGCCATCCCCACAGTGGATGAGAAGATTAGCGCAGCTCTGATGGACCAGACCAGTTCCAGATGGTTCCACCCACCAGTAGACCAGCAGTTTTCACTCATGGGACCCAGCTAAAATGCTTCTTACGGGTCAGACCTGAAGAACACCCTGCTCCATGGACCTCACTCTGCCTGCCAGTCACAAAGACCCACACTGCAGGTGGCAATTCCCTTCTGAGCTGTGTCTGCACACCCAAAATTGGGAATTGTAGCTGTGAAGCAAAGAGATTTGTGCTTCCCTGGGTGACATGCCTTCGTGGGAACAACCAGTTCCAGAATTCTTTGTGCCTGGGCAGGAGAAATGGATTAAGCACCATAATAGTAATCACAAACGTGAATTCCAGGGGCGGTGGGTGTCAGTGCTACTAGTAGGATTACAGCCCCCAAATCTTTGCAAATACATTTCTTGTAGATCAGCAAGAGATGGGGAAGGGTCAATGTCATCAGATCAGACTGGATTTTTCCAGTTCTTTGTCTAGATGGCCCTTTATCCACAAAAAGTAGATTCTGCAGTTTTGAGTGAAGATAAAATATAAAATGGATGAGTACGTGGGTTGCTATGGAGGAGATACTCCTAAAGCACTCAGGCAGGGACTCAAGAAGCATTTTAAAGGCAAACACCTGCATCTTGAATCGGCCCTGGAAACAAACAGGCAGCTGGTGCAATTCTTCCAGAACTGGGGGAATGTAGCTTCACCGAGACAAACCAGCCGGAATTCTAGCTGCCACATCCTGCACTAGTTGAAATTTTCACACTATCTTCATGGACATTGTCCTAATGGACGGAATACATACGTAGTCATGGATTGTTCCCAGGTTATCACCAACCAAGAAAGACTGCAGCTAGCCAACCAACTGGTTGGCAATACACCACTTGGGTTCCAGTTACAGTGATAAATCCAAGCTGCTCTCAACCAAAACCGGTTGCACCCTGGTTCCTCAAACCACAGTTCCTCCCTCTTCTTGGGACTGAACCTCAGTTTCCTAGCCTTCATCCAGCCCTCCCCGTTAGCCAGACAGTGGTTCAGCACCAGCCCAGCCATAACAAAATCAACATCCGAAATGGACTGTCCCTTGGATCAAGCTGGAATCTTGCAGGACTGGTCTACCAGCACCAGCTTCAGAAATGAAACAGGATTATATATTGTAATGACAGTCCTATCAGATTCCTCTTTGCCACCCAAAAATGTAACATCGCAACCGAAAGCGAATGCTTCTTTCGCACGCCTTAGCTGCAGCACCAGTTTTAGTTTCAAATCTGCTTTTCCATCCTTAGCTTTGGATGGAAATAAGAGCCTTAGCTTTACTCACTGCATTTCCATTCAGATGAAGGGCTTTAAACAGTTTGTGTCCTTCAACAGAAAGATATAGTCATCGCCTCTAGAAAAATAGATGTCAAGTAGCACTCTTTGTCACAGCTTTACGTGGCTGTTTCTGCAGTAACCCAGCAGTACTGAAAAATAGGATTCAATATTTCTCAGCTCCAAAATGGCATATAGTTCTCCTGGCTATAAACTACAAATCGCACAGAGATTTGTAGATTCTCTGAAGCTGCAAACTGAAAAAAGCGCCAGAACTCTTAAAATGTGATTCTGTCCTCGTGCTGAAGGCCTTGGAAGGCCTTTAATGAAGGGTGCGGATACGTTTTCTTGGATTCCTGCCCGGTAGAAGGCAGAAGTCTCTGTGCAGAAAATTAGAAGGACAAACTGAAGCATCCACAGAATGCCGTTCCTTCTGGTCGTCCCACTATCTTAGTCCCAGACTACTTGCCGTGCTGCTCTGGCAAAAGGAATCGCTGACCTGCACACCCTCCCCTGGCTGCACCCCGCTTGACTGTGCTTCTCTGCTTGCTGCCTTCTGCAACCCACTCCCAAACTCTGGGTGCTTCTGGGCAGAAGGTTCCCGGCACTAGCAATCAAAAAGCAGTATGCAGCCATTCCGTCCTTTTCTAGGATAAAGGATAGAAGAAACAGTAAGAAAATATACAGAGGACAATGACGTCGTATAAATCTTCCATAAAATATGTCCCGTGAATTTCCATATATTTCTACAAATTATGGCCAGGAAATTTCAATGAATGAGGCTGGGTGCTAGTGCCATGAAAACCTCGTCTAGAGACGTCTTGCCTGGGTTTGCTCCAACATCAGATGTGACAAAGAAGCCAGCTGTGCTTGCCTTCCTCTAAAGGGTGCCCCCTCCGAATGTGTGGGACTACAGGTCCCATCACCACTGACCATTGCGTGTGCTAGCTGGTGCTGCTGGGCATTGTACTCTAATACAATAGATTGGGGGAGGCTGGTGTATGTGCCAGTCAGAATTCTGCACCTTAGTAATTCAATCCTTCATCAAGCAGATCTAAATTCTCTGACCTATATAAAGTACTTACATCAAGCAAATCAGTGCATTTTGCATAATTTATGCTGCCACTAGTACTTATGAGGAAAGACCAAATTCAGTGCAGACAAGAGACACTCTGGTCTCTGGCCCTTGGAATTCCTGGGGTGACATAATAGGAAACGGGGGGAAGTCTGTGCACCCCAGCGGAGTGCAGAACCCAGCTTCCTCCCCGCTTTTCAGCTTCAATGTGAATCATCAGCACTGCTTCTTCTCCATGCTCTTTGAGTGCACAGGGCTTGTATTAGTGGAAGGGAGAGGCTTTTAAAAGTGGCAAAATTGAGCTACAAATTAGGGAGAGAAATGCAGGGGCCTTACAGAGGACCTGTCAATCAGACTTCAGAAGTTCAGATCTCACACACACACACACACACACACACACACAGCCCGCAGCCTGAGACTTTTGGCTGAACACTCCCAGCAGGTGTTCATTCGGCCACAAGGGAGAGCCACCTACTTCAAAGCCTGTTTGCAGCAGTAAGCAGAGGGTTTGTTTTGTTCTTGCTTTTTTTAAGTGGCCTGGCAGTAGACCAGGTGAAGCTTCTCCCAGGCATGGGCATGCAGGAAATGTTGGTGCTGCTCACATTCGAAAGAGTGGAAAGGAGAGCCTCCAGACATAGGCATAGTCAACCTGAGCCATGCATAATAACAATGAAAAGGTCCCCTTTCTGCCCGCATTTGCTATCTGGCCCTTACTGGCACAAACAGGGATGGTGAGATGGAGAGAATTCTGTGCATGCATGTGCCCTTTTCTAGCTTTGAATTTTCCTGGTATCTGCTAGGAGAATTTTCTTGTTTTTCCTCTTTTGTTGTTCTCTTTTATTTCTTTGCTCTGTTCTTTCTAGTTGTCTCTTTGTCCCTGTTCAACAACCACTGTGAAGTTGCATTCATATCCTGACTTGTTTTCTGTCATTTTTGTTTCCCTGCTGTCCTTTGCAACTCAGTGTTTCTTCTTCTGTCATTTTCTGTTTGGGTTTGGATTCAGGTTTAAGTTCAGGTTCTTGGTTTGGTTCTGCTTTTTTGTTCTTTGCTATAGAAGTACACATGCTTCTAAGTTTTACTTCCATAGGAAGACATCTTTCATGCTAATTCCTGTGTAATATACACGGGCGGACCCAACAAAACCAGAATTCATTTATAAAAAAAAGATTATTCAATTTTACATGTTCAAACTTCAGTCACCTTCAAAGTACTCTCCATTTGATGCAATCGAGACTTTTCCACCGCTCCAAACAGGTTATGAACGCATTGATTTCGATGCCTTTTCGTACTTCTGCCATTTTTTGTTTCAACTCTTCCACATCAGCAAAACATTTCCCTTTGAGGACTCTTTTCATCCAGGGAAACAAAAAAAGTTGCACGGGCAAGATCGGATGAAAAAGGAGGGTGGGGCACAAGGGTCATGCCATTTTTTGGTCAGAAACAAAATTTCCCTGCCTCTCGTCATTCATGTAAATCAGCCATCATGAAATAGGCGAACATGTTGAAAAGATCTCCTGAAAACCTCACTGGAGCCGAACACAAGACTCTCACAACAGCCCAGCTGGGCACACTCCTGCGGACGGGTTCCTAGGACACTCACCTCGCGGGGGGAGCCTGGACTACAGAGGGCCCACCCTCCAGAAGGCAATTCCTGGGGGTTTGTTGGGGGGGTCCCCCCTCATAACACGAGTCATTCAGTAACTATACTTTAAAGAAGCTTTTCTGTTTTTGTTTTGTTGAGTCATGAAGTTGTGTCCGACCCATCGCGACCCCACGGACAACACTCCTCCAGGCCTTCCTATCCTCCTCCATCTCGCAGAGTCCACCCAAGCTCACGCC